GGAGAGCGGGGGATAAACAGATGCCGAGTAATGCTGATGAAGGGAATGAGCCATTTGTGCCCGTTTGGGAGCTCTGCTGCAGAGAGGATGCAGCCTGCAGATTTAAGTAGGTTATGATGTTCTCCCCTATGGCTGGGGCTGGAGGCCTGGCCAGTTAACTGCAGAGTGTCACTTTGTGGTACAAACATCAAAAAATCATCTTTCAGAGAGCAATGGCTTCAAATGGGTGCATTCCTTTTTTGTTTTTAAATGTAACCCTATCTTTACCAATTAAAGTAACTATTCAATGGTTAGAATATGATCTCTGAGCTATGAGCACAGATCCTGTTTATCCCTTTTGTGGAATAAAATATATTTAGCCTTGCTGGATTTGTAGTTAGTATTCCTTCTTCGTGTTTTACGTGGCAATTAACCCTCTCCTTTGATAGCTGTTTACAGCCTTTAGCAGGGCGACAAGAATGGTGCTCTTTGTTCTGCAGAAAGCAGGGAGCAGTGCCAGGTATCCTGTATCTGTTTCCCAAACTCAGATAACCTTCTCCTGGGGCAATCCCAGTACCAGGAGAGAGGCAACAGCAGTATTCTTAACGTGGCTGCTCACTGCCAGTCTTTTCAGAGAATGGGAATCAGCTGATTAATTTTATTGACCAATTATTGCAAGTAAAAGGTACCAGGCTGGAAGCACTGGTCACTGGCAAAGGCTCCTCACAGCCTTGTGTTTGTGCTCTTCATCATTCCTGCAAGTTGATTGCTTGTATCTGCAAGAAGATTACTGCCCACTGTAATACAACTTCTGGCCTCTTTCCTTGGATGCCAATAAGAAGATTAATTAGAACTGGGCTGAAAATGTATTGGTATTTAAGGGAGATATCTTTTTACTGTGCTGCCTCATCTCTTATTCCACTCTGCGCTCAGAGTCCTCATGCAGCTTCTGCTGTTGAGTGCCCTCTGTACCTGCAGAGAGGTAAGGAAGGACTTTCTGTCTCTGTGCTCATACATCCTTATTCCAGGAGAATGTGTGGGTTCTGGCAAGAGCAATCTGGAGGCAGCACAGGATGTTGGATACAGGACACACTCAGCACCCCCTCCTACAATGGCTCACTGTGGGGCCACCACACAGCTCACAGGTGTTCTCTGCTTCCACAGCAGCTCTAAGACTGAAGTAATTTCCAGCCAGGCTTGGCAGTTGGACTTTCCCAGTGATCTGTATAAACCAGAAGTGTCTTGGGAGGTTTCCCAGTTACACCATCCTGCTTTTGGTGTTTACAGCTACAGTAACTAACTTCTGGTGCTCTGACTGCTGAGCTCGGTGCCTGTTTGCACATGGGGCCTTCTGATAAGGCAGGCATTTGACCTTTCTATTCTTAACCCATTAACATTTAGAAGAGTTGCTCTCCTCACCTCTGAAGCTGTGTTCCTCCCCCTCCCCACAACCCCCCTGTTCCTGCCAGATAAGATTACTCCTAGGTTATATATTGATCTAAAAGCAGAGTGCCAAATGCAGCCCACAGCAGTTCAAGGGCAAACACTGAACTCACCGAGTCCCCATGCTCAGCTCAGTGGGAAGGAGGTGACCAGAGACTCCTTTTGCCCTCAGCAGAACCTGGGGGGAGGCACAGGGATCTCAGTTCTTTATTGTACCATGAAAGGACCAGCAGTGGGACCAGCCCATTTCGCTGAAGCTGCACCTTTGTGCTCTTTCCTCTTCTCCCTGTGCCTGTGAACAGATGAATGGGTTGAGGGGATCCTTACACAGGATTATCACACACTTGAGGCAGTGTATTCAGGAATCTGAACATGCAAATGAGAGCCAAGAGTGCTTTTTTTTAAGCCAAGCCCAGCTCAAGGAATGCTGCACCGTGTCACTTCACCTGTGCATGGGTATTTTGAATATCAGACAGGAGTAAGGAGCTGTTATTGCCTCTTCAGGTGTTGTTTGAGAGTCTCTTGTTCAAGGTCAATATCTTGGTGTAAAATACTTGGGAAACTGCCACCAGAATGATGAAAGAAGTGGAAAACAGGCCTGATAGTGGATGTTATAAATGCTTGAGTTATTTGCTTTATCCATGAGATGACTAGATGGTCATTTGGGAATACCAACACCAGCAAGAGATTTGGTGGGTGGGGTCTGTTGAGCTGTTACACACATTTTGTATGAGAATAATGACTATAGTGGTCCTGCTGGCTTTAAAAGCCTATGACACTGATAATAACTACAATCAGTCACAATAATTAATTACCTGGCAAGCCGGATTTTCCCCTGTAAAACCAAAAACCACTGGAGCAGCATGGATCAAAATTTATTGCAATTATTAATATTTTATTATGTTAAATTAAATGGTTTAAAATAAAACATTGTGATTTAATGTGCATTTATGACCATTTGTACTAAGAACTAAGATTCATATATTCTTAACGTGATAACTTGCATGAAATTAAAGAGGCAAGCACTGTGCTTTTCCTTGTCACTGTTTAAGAGAAAGTAAAACCACAGAATGGATGGAGTCCTCTCACTTAGCACTAGACTATTTTAGAATGAGAGACTCCTTTTGAGTTGTCTTATCAGACACTCAGTAATTCAGAGTTGAGAAGCTCATTCAAAACTGAAGGAGGAAATCCTTTTTCATCTTGTGGTCTGTGAATAAAAATAGATGTGAAAGTCTGTTCTACTAATTTTTTAGATGCCTCAACAGCATGTGTGATCCAAAACCAACTGCTTTATCTCCTTAACTACAGTTAATATTATCTTTGTTTACTGCGTGTGTTAGTTTTAAATACTGTGTTTTGATAAGCTTTTCTGTTATTTCTAGAAATTCTGATATAATTTACCCAGCTGTTTGGAAGCAATTATAAAATACAGTTATGATTTGGAGCTCCAGCTTCCATTTCAACTCAGAATTGCACAAACCATAACTAAAAGTTCATTTAGTGAGGAGAAATGCATGACTCCATCCCTGTTAATACAACAGACTGGAAAAATTAAATTCTATCCTTGGAGAGAGAGTTGTTTTAGAAAGAACTAAATTACTTTTTTAAAATGGGTGGGTTGAAACCCACCTGTCCTGGGCTGCAGGAAGAGGTAGGTAGGAATTTTGCTGGCTTGGCCCTCACCAGGGCCTGGTTTGAATTTTCTGTGTGGCACTGTCACTGTTGTGGTGTCACCAACAGTCGCTGGCCCTTGGAGCAGCTGAACTGACAGGGACAAGGCCCAAGGTTGGCAATGCTCCTGCCCATTCTGTTTTACAGAGTCCTGTTTTACAGGGCTGCTTTCCCTTATTTTTTTCCTATCTCAAATGTTCCATGAAGTAAAATTTTTATCAGTGACTCAGAGCAAAAGAAAATTTCAGATTTCTATGATAAAATATTAGATGTCTGGGCAAGCCTTGGACTGAAAATGTTTTTTTGGCTTACCCAGCATACTGTACTTGCTGAGATGGGAGTGTGTGAGTCTCTAGTTATGATTAAAACACCAAAAGCATGAATGTAGGAAGCAATAAAGTATTATGTAGGAGAAAATTAATCATTTTTGTGACTTTGTTTAAAGAAAACCCAGATGTGGGAGCAGTTACCTACTGAATCAATCATTTCCTAAGCCACAGATGATCAGAAAATTAATTAAAGAATATGAAGAGGTATTAGAAAAATAAACCTGCAGAACTTAATGTTTAAACAATGTTGCCCAGACTCGTTTGGTCTTAAAGTGATCTGGATTTACAGTAATTGTAATTTATTGGGGATATCTAACCCTCAGGATGTACATTCAGGAGATTGTTCAGGCTTTCAGGGACTGGATTGCTCCAGTTTGCTTCTGCTGAAGAGTTTGTGTCAGGAAACAAAATCTCTGCCTTTGACTGCAGCTCTGCCAGGATCTTCCTGAGGGTGTGGGAGGGGTGAAGGTGTGGGGAGGATGATGATGTGGGGTGGATGAAGGTGTGGAGTGGGTGAAGGTGTGGGGTGGGTGAGGGTGGGAGCTTCTCAGGGCTGATGCAGCAAGACTGCTTTTCTTACAAGATCTAATTATGCCATTAGAGTGCAGATCTCTGCTCCTCCCTTCTTTGTGAGCTTTATACATACTCTGTGTGGTCTTGTGTGTGTGAGACATGCTCAGAAAATGTTCATTCCTCTGTTATGTTAGCAACAGGTGACCAGAGAAGTAAAATCCTTCAGAATACTCGGACTGGCAGAACAGCACCAGGTCAAGGTACTTCCTAACAGCTCAATAGAATCTCCTTTAGTAATTCCTAATAAACTTCCCTGGCTTCCTGGCCTATTTACAGTCCTTGTCCTTAGCCCTAATCCATGTCAGAAGTTGTGTTTCCATTTTGACTCAGGGATTGCCCAGCAGGACGTTTGTCTCAGCACACAGGGACAGCTGTGTTGACAGTCTCAGTGGCCTCGGGGCATTACAGGCTCTCTGTAATCAGATGTGACCTGTACATGCTTCAGTGCCTTCCAGTGAACTGAAACAACCTTTGTCTGCTTGGGGTGATGAAGGAAGTGACCACCTTAAGGGGCTTGGCTGTCCTTTTGTGAGACCTTCTAAAGGATACACAGACTGCAGAACCAAGTGAAGGTCCTGGAGTCAGTGTTAGTGTAGCAGTTCATCAGGCAGAATGAAAAAAGGGTGGTTTGATGGTGGAGAAATGCATGCAAGAAATGCAGGGGATTCGAAATTAACTTGTAAAATTATATTGAGTAATTTTTTATATATCTGTCCCCTAGATTCCTATCCAGTGTTAACCATTGTACATAGCTATTTTCCAAAACGTTTCTTTTTCTTCCTTTGTACTGTATGGCAGAGATAAATATGCAATTCTTTCTATTTCAGGAATCCTAGGAGCCACTGGTAACAACAGTAGGTACAAATTAGACAGAAATGGCATTTTTCAACTGCTGGCACACCACTTAACATGCACTTTGCATAGCAATGACCAAATCCCTGTTGAACACTGGCCAAGAGAATCCATCAGCGTGTTTTATTCATGTGGTGTGACAGTGCAGTTAAGTCTGTATTGATTCTGTTTATTTCAATTTAGAGAACATCTCCACTGAGCATTCCATGTAATTATTATACAGACAAGGAGCAACATCCAGAGCTGACAGCCAAGCATAGAAATACAAATCTTTTGCAAAACATTCTGTCATGCTGCTTCTGCAAGGAGAACAGGTCAGACATAAACAGGAGCAGATTCTGCTGTCAAGATTTTTGCTGAAATCGCCTTTCCTCCAGCTCTGTTATGATTATATCAGGGCACCATTTGTTTTAGTCTCCCACATGATCTCCACAGCTGCATTACTATACAGAGAGAGAGAAAATCAGGGTTTAAAAAACACTGAGTAGCTAAAACAGGTACTTTACATTGTAACTAACAGACTGTCAGTAAAATCCTCAATATTGACACAGTGTAAATAGGAGTTTATAACCTGCTGCTTCCTGAGATCCCAGGGAGTGTGTGGGTGCTGAATAGATCCAGTTGCACGGTACAGAGTGCAGGGTTAGTGCTGTAGGTGACTTGGTTGTCCCAGGGAGTTGCACAATCAGAACTGTTTGAATGCTTAGGCAGGCCAAAGGTTGTGAACGTGAGGCACGAGCTTGAGGAAGTCCATTCAGGGAGGGAACCTACAGTAATTAGCTCTGCCACTTGTTGCAGTTGTTTCCTTCTTAGGATGATTAAGTCACACTGATCTGGTCAGCCCAGGTCAACCACAATGTTACCAAGACAACGCAGTAAACTGGTCAGTGCCCTTGAGTGTTGCACAGCCCATGAAGTGCTCCCAGATCCCTGCTCCAGCTTTGTCCTGATTCTGGAAAGGTGCTGTGGTGGGACACAACCTCAGCTCCTTGTACAAACCAGCTCTTCATACAGCTGGAGTGTTGTTCAGGGCTCCTCAGCAGCAACAACCAAGATGGATGAGACACTCAAAAGTGAACTGGACACACTCCATCCCATAACAGTGTCCCATTGAAACATCCCTCTGTAACAGTCCCAGTTCCTGCCTGCCAAGGATTTGCTTAACATCTACAGTTAGACTGGAAGGGGTGGGGGAAGGAGAGCCCTTGCTGTCATTAAAAAGGAAAAGGGAAAAAAAAGTCTAATCAAATAAATCCCTGTAGTTCATTTCCTCTTACGAGCTCTGTGCTCTGTAATTATATTAGCAAAGAAGTCTTTCTTCTCTGAGTTCACGTGAAACCTTAATGGTTTTATTCCCCTTGGCCCTAGTTCAATCAGCATACATGAAATGACAAAGTTTTTCGGTTCCAGTGTAAGCTTGAATTAAAGGTGGTAGGTGTGGTACTTCAGATTAGAGCAGACAATTTAAAAGAATCAATTTCTTAAATGACAGTTGCTAGGTTGGGAGTACATTTAACATAACCCCACTACCAAGTAGGAATTTTGTTTAAGAGAACCCAGCCTCCCCAACAAAGAGTGCCAGCAATGCAGAGTTCCCAACACACAGCAACTATGAATAGAACAAGATGTTCTGTTAGCAGGTAGGTGATGCTGGCAAGTGGTTAAACACATTTAGGTATTTTCATTTGATGAGTAAAAGAGTGTAAAAGATTCTCAGTATCTCAAAGAAGTCCGATGAATTTTACTTGTTTGCTCGTGGAGTTTTACTGTTGCTCTTGGTGGAGATACTGAAGCCAATTTTGAAGACTAGATAATTTGTTCTGAAGGAAATGCTGTTCAGATGATGCAACACCAGCTTTTTTAAAAGGAGAAAACAGACCTTGAAGCAAATAGGAAGTGAATGTTTTCATTTGTTTCATATTTACCTTTTTCCTAATGTGCACTAGGTTAGCAAATGTGGGAAGTGTTTTATAATTTCAGTTTTATTGCATCAGGAGGAAGGGAAATGAACTCTGCTGGACATCATTGAGCATTTTTTGCCTCTTGTAGCTTCTTCAGTCAATTTTGGTTAAAATGAAAAAAAGTATTCTTACTGCAGCACAGGAAATTGAAATACCTTTTAAGCAAATGAAGTGGGATTTGGGGTGAATATTTTGTTTTGTGATCCCTCTGTGCCAAGTGAAGCATTAAATAAAAACATTTTGATTACAGTTCCATGCCAAGTCATGCCCCCTCTTCTAACCAGTCACATATTAACTCAATCTCATTGTACCTGCAGACTCCTTGTACAGTAATTTCAGGGTTTCTCATTTCAGTGTTGCAGTCTGTTTCTCTGCAATTGCCATTTGCACTGAAATAATTCATTACACATCCTCCCCTCCATGCACATACATTCTACATTCTTCATATGTGACTGTAAGCATAACAAATCTTGTCTGAGTTCCACGCCATTTTCTCGTCTTTGATTGTTAATAATTAACTGAATTTTGTTAAATGTAGAAGTGCTCAGTTTCTTTTAGGATGAAGGATGGATATTTTCCTGTGAATCAGTTTTTAAATCTGAGCACTGAAAAGTCTGACAAATAATGCTTGAAAGAAGCAAATTTTGTTCCTATTTTGGGGTACAAAATGGCAGGCGATAAAAGGGGGCAATTCAGAATTGAAGTTGGTTGAATTCTTCATTAAGTTCTTGTCATTACATTGCATCAGCAAGATTTAAACCCTTCATTTTGGAGAAGGGTCACATCTGTAATAAATTATGGTCTCCATTATTTAAACAGTAGCATTGTTATAAATATTTTCTTCCTGTATTTCTGTTTCATAAGCCAAATACTCAGCATTTCTCTTCTTCTTGTAAGTAGCCACACGATGGGCTGCCAAGGCTGGTTTATCATTTTCCTTGGGAAAGGCACTGGATAATATTGCAGGATAAAACATTTACAGGCAGAGGTTTGACCCGTGGGGGAGAGAGGTGAGGGCTTTGCAGGATTGGTACCAAGAGACTGAGGCTTGAAGAAGAACTCCCACAGCTGCTCTCAACCAGTGAGGGTCAGAGAACTGCAACAAGCTTGGTCCTGCAGAAATGAGAGTGAGCCACTGATCTAAACTGAAATTTGTGAGCGTTAAGATTTTTAGCCAAACCTAACAAATTTCCTTTCTATTTTTTTTAATGATACTTTTATGTTTGGATATAGGGATAACTGGATGAACATGTGAAAGGCAGTTCTGGTGTCAAGGCACTGCTTTTCAGAGCTGTATCTGCACAGTCTCTTCTTGTGACAAGGAACTTGTCATCATAGTAAAGAAGAGAAATCCACACAACCTCTTACTGAGAGTAGCAAGGTTTTACTGGAGAACACAGTATTTTAGGGCAAGACATGAGTTTTTTCCTTAAAGGAAGAACAGCCAAGAGTACTGACACAAAGAGTCATCCAGGGCTGTGTCATATAGAGCACAATCAGGTGATGCAGAGGTCACACTTTGGTCCCCTGGCAAATTTTGGGGGTACATTTAAGCAGCTCCTTTGATGTTGGTGGTAATGGTGGATCATTTGCAACTGTAAATGTGTTTTCTGCCAGTCCAAGTGCCCAGGAATCCAGGAGGCTCTGCAGAGCACCAGTGAGAGGCCTGTTGAAGGCTGGATTGTTGTTTGCCCCAGGCAGTGAAACATTCCTGGAGTGTTGTGTGGGTGCTGCAGCACCGAGCCGGGCTCAGGGCTCTGTTCCAGGCTCTGCCCCTGACTCAGCTCTGCTGCCTCGGGCCCTTCAGGGAGAGTTACCTGAGCTCTTAATTCTCTCATTAGAAAATGTGCAGCTTATTATTCGCTCACTTCCCCATACCAGCCTCACAGGGGTGTGAGTTAATGAACATCTGTTAATGTGTGGAAATAAATGCTGTGGAAGTGCCGGAGCAGTAGCAGCGCTCACACAGCGCTTTGGGAATGTGCAGCTTTTCCCTACTGGACTGTGCTGTAAGACTAAATCACCGTTTTAGCAAGGCACCTGTGGAGCACAGCATCCCTGACTCCAAATCCCCCTCTGTGCCCTGGTAAATGCTCCCGAGCCCAGGGCTGGGACAGTTCTGTACAGCCCCGTGTAACCCAGGTACGTGCAGCTCATGGCACACAGCTCTTGACGAGTGTTCTGTGCCCAGCTCCAGTTCATTATCCTCACTCATCTGCCACTCATTAAGGAAAAAAAAAATAATACCGTTGTCTGCAAAAATCGGATTTGTTACCCGGTGTGCAGCGAGCCAATAATGGCACACTCGAGACAGACATTGATTATTAATTTCAGACTTGCCAAGCTTGGGTGCCAGGTGGAACTCCACGAATCAACCATCATAAATTTTTACTATTTATACATTTTAGCGAACAAAGGGAATTTTACATATTGTTTTGCAGCAATGCAGTTCCGTTCTTTGAAGCTTCCTGCTTTCCCTCTCCCATCTCTGGACCCTCAGTGGGTTGATGCTGGGAGGACGAAGCCCCCGGTCCCTTCCCTTCTCCGGGCGCTGCGGGCGGCCCCCGCAACTCGCAGGAATGAATCGCTGCCAGCCTTTGGCAGTGCTGGCCGGTCCTAGAAATCCGCCTGGCTGCTGGAGCGGCTGCCAGGAGCCTCCCTCGGGCCGTCATGTGAGCAATGTAAACAGCCCGGCCGGGCGAGTGGGCGGCTCGGCGCTCGCCAGTGGGGCAGAGTTCAGTGGCTCTGGCGGGGTTACTGCCGAGCGCCCGGGGTTGCCATAGCGAGCATTGCATAACGCTGGCAGCGGCCCCGGCCACAAAGGGCCCCGCGTTCCTTCTGCTCGCTTTGTTCATTGTTGCCGAGGCCCACTTTGCTGTCGCAAATGGAGTTCCAGGCATAGTTCGTGGCTGTGGGAGCTTTCGCTGGGAGCAGGGACAGAGAGGAGCTTGCTGATGGAGCCCTGGAACTGGGGCGTTCGCGCTGCCTGCAGGAGAGCTGTTTGCATGAGCAGAGACTTTGCATGCCAGTCAAGTCTGTGGGATGAAGAGAGGTGTTTAACTTCCTGATGCATTGTCTTCTAAAAGGAAATGATTTGATGTAGGACTGAAATTTGCACCCAGCTAGAGAGCCCAGGGCATCAGAACATCAACATTATGTGGGTACAGCATGACTCCAAGAATTAATGCTCCCATATCATTGCATAGATCAAATGGATTGCAGGAGATGGGAGTTTTGTGGGAGGCTGAGAAGTCAGAAACTTTTTTGGATGGAATTGGTAGAGGGAAGTTGGAACGTTGCAGCATGGGAAGCTGCATTTGGAATCAGGCCATCGTCCTCTGGAGATCTCTGCTGAAGTTGCATCTGCATTTACATAAGTTTTGGCATGAGAAATCAATGTCCATGAAGTGACTATTCTGTGCTTTCCCTTTCTAGATGATTAATTAAAGTGGCTGAGAGATTGATTTGGCTACAAGCTGTCTCCTGAGGTTTCTGACTGTAGTATTTTTGTTATGTGGAATAGACCAAGGTCTATCTCTTTGGCTGGAGTGATTATGCTTTTGGCTCTCCTGATTTTTGAGGGTCTGGCCATTGAGTCAGTGGCAAAGTCCTGTTTGACTTCCATGGGCCAGAATCAGAACTGCAGTTTTGCCAATACAGTGTGGTGGATTTATCATTC